TTCTTTCTTTCTTTCTTTCTTTCTTTCTTTCTTTCTTTCTTTCTTTCTTTCTTTCTTTCTTTCTTTCTTTCTTTCTTTCTTTCTTTCTTTCTTTCTTTCTTTCTTTCTTTTTATTGAATTTGTACCCCACCCATCTAGTCAACTGACTACTCTGGGCGGCTAACAGCATATAATATAAACAATTTAAAATATAAGAACAAAGTAACATATTAATAGACAGTACTCAAGATGGAAGAAAAAAAAGTAAATCAAGTAGTGGCTGGAGCGAAGGTTTTCCATGTGCCTTTTCATTTAAAAAAAAAGATGAGAGGGTCAGCTCAGCTCCCATTTATTTCTTTGTTTATTTGTTTGTTCGTTTAAATTATATATTGCCCATCTGGCTACCAAAGGCCACTCTGCTCTGGCCGGTTCACAGCAAAATAAACAGCGATAACCTACCAAAGAATAACCTACGAAAGAATAGCCACCTACACCTAACACTATAAAAATGTAAACAAACCTATCGGTCAAATTAAACTAAAAAAGAAAGCAACATAAGAACAAAGAAGTAATGCAGCATTTCATAGAATCATAGAAAAGTGATGTTGGAAGGGGCCTACAAGGCCATCAAGTCCAACCCCCTGCTCAATGCAGGAATACAATCAAAACGTATCTGTCAGGTGATTATCTAGGTTTTTCTTGAATGCCTCCAGTGCTGAAGCACTCACCAACTCCCGAGGTAACTGGCTCCACTGTTGTACTGCTCTAAGAGGAAGTTTTTCCTGATATTCATCTGACATCTGGCTTCCTTTAACTTGAGCCCATTGTTTGTTTGTTTGTTTGTTTGTTTGTTTGTTTGTTTGTTTGTTTGTTTGTTTGTTTGTTTATTGCCCATCTAGAATGCGTCTACTCTGGGTGGTTTGCATATAACATAAAGTAAAATCCAAATTTTTCCACATAGGGATGTAGTGGCACTGTGGGTTAAATGGCAGAAGCCCCTGTGCTGCAAGGTCTGAAGACCAGCAGTCGTAAGATCGAATCCACATGACAGAGTGAGCTCCTGTTGCTTGTCCCAGGTCCTGCCAACCCAGCAGTTTGAAAGCACGCAAATGCAAGTAGATCAATAGGGACCACCTCGGTGGGAAGGTAACGGTGTTCTGGGTCTAGTCGCGCTGGCCACATGACCACAGAAAGTGTCTACAGACAAAACAGTGGCTCTATGGCTTGGAAACGGGGATGAGCACCACCCCCTAGAGTCAGACACGATTGGACTAAATGTCAAGGGGAACCTTTACTTTTACCTAAAATCCAGATTAATCACAGAATCCAAGATCGGAAAGGAAGAAAAGAAGAAAAAAAGAAAGAGAGAGGAAAAAATGAAGAAAGGGGGAGATAGGTTAGGTAACTGCTGTAGGGAAGGCCTGCCTGTGTAGCCATGTCTTCAAGTTAGTCCCGAAGGCCCTCAGTGAGGGAGCCAGGTGGATCTCTACAGGAAAGTTGTTCCAGAGGCAAGGGGCGACTGCTGAGAAGGTCCGATACCTAGTTTTTTCCCCCAACTTGACTCTCTTGGTGTTAGGCCCCTTAGCAGCCCGGCCTGACTGGAGCAGGTGATATGAGTAGAACTGGGTGGAAGAAGATGCTCTGCAAGGTATCAAGAGCATAAACCATTAAGAGTTTGTATGTAATGGTTAGCACCTTGAAATCAATGTGGAAGTGGATAGGTAGTCCGTAAGTCAGTATACGTTGGCCAAGATGGGGAAATATGGTGAAATCTTTTCACCCCCATTAATAGCCTGGCCACTGTGTTCTGGACCATCTGGAGCTTCTACATCAGCCTCAAAGGATCCCCACATAGAGAGCATTACAATAGTCTACTCTTGAAACTATGAGTGCATGGACCAGCCTGGTGAGTGCTCCTGTGTCCAGATACGGATGCAGCTGGGCAATCCACCGAAGATGTAAATGGGCAGACAGACTCATGGACGCTACCTGGGTCTCCATGATAAGTGCCAGGTCAAGATGGACCCACAGACTGCAAACCAAATCCTTTGTGGTGAGAGTCACCCCCTCAAAAGAGAAGGAGTTTCCCCAAACCACTGATATTGGGGCCACCCACCCGCAGGACCTCTGTCTTGTCTGGGTTCAACCTTTTTCCATTTGATTGCATCCATTGCAGAATGGGACGCTACCTGGGTCTCCATGATAAGTGCCAGGTCAAGATGGACCCACAGACTGCAAACCAAATCCTTTGTGGTGAGAGTCACCCCCTCAAAAGAGAAGGAGTTTCCCCAAACCACTGATATTGGGGCCACCCACCCGCAGGACCTCTGTCTTGTCTGGGTTCA